AGACAAACGATAATACACTTTATTATTGCATCTACCACGATGAATAACAACAACCTTTTCCTCGACATATTCATGTACTGTTCAATAAACGAGCGGGAGTGTTTTATCAAGTTTAAAACACAAGGCATAGCCGAGTGTTTTAGACCTGATAAAACACAAACCTGCGAGTCTATTAAATGGCATCAAAATCTTCTGATGACTGTAGATCAACTCATTCTTGCACTGATGTTTCGATTTGGCTTAGGAAATTGGAAGTAAAGTTTAGCTCTGTCTTTGTCAGATATAAAGACACTCATTAAACATTCATTTCTTTTGTATTTTCCTTATGAATTATTATGAGTTTTTGAAGTAGTATTTATGTAGGATTTGTGTGGGGGAGTTACCAGATCTAGAGAGAAGAGTCCTGTTCTACAGAGACAATTTTGATGCCTATTTTGGGAACGCTGCCCCCTGCCATGCAAATATAAAAATCGAGTGACTGGGGAATAGCAGTTAATGAAAAAGAGAAACTTCTCACCATAAAAGCTTAATACGTGTAAGATGTTGAACGTAACTTTTCTCTTGCAGAATCATATGGGACAGTGTGCCAAGTGCCAAGTACCTTGTCCAAACAATTGTGGTCGTTCAATTCCAAGAGAAAAAGTAACGCGTTTGTTTTTCCATTTAATATCTATTGTTGTTTGATCTAAAAGATGAAATTTAGATTCTAGCGGCCAATGTTAAGGCCTGATTTGAGTGAAAAGACAGTGAAAACATATTCATAGATGGTTTGATGTTTACAACTTTATGTGACAACACTGGAATATTTTTTTCTTTAATTAACAGAAAATGTGAAGAGCTTTAGATGTAAGCGAGTCAATTCCCTTTTCTCATCAAAACTTTAATAGTTCGCATTTCATCTTTTATTTTTTTCAGATTACAAACCACACCACAAACGACTGTCCATTGTCATTAATCTCCTGTCCTTATGAACAGATAGGCTGCAAAAGAAAGGTATTAAGATCACCTTCGACACTTTTTTATTTTTATTATCTCTATCACTTTTGGCAATATTGAACAGAGCGACAAGATTTGGAGAATTCAGTTCTTTTTACTTTTGCAATGGGATCGCCATTTCCCAAGTAGGGGAATGAAAAATTGTTTGAGGTAACGGGAGTTCCAAATAACTTGGGTGGAAATTTTTAGTGTAAAATATTAAACAGTCTCGTGTAGCAATGGTTATTTTATGTGCCGTAATTAGACTTGAAAAGGTTGTGGACTTGAGTATTATTACATAATCTGTGTCGCAGAGTTCAAATTATAACAAAAGTACAACGAAGTTCGCGTTCTCTCTTGTCACGAAGTACGACGGTATTTATTTATTGCTTTTGTTAGAAGTCAAGGGCATAACTTATTAATTCATCCTATAGTTATACAGTTCAAGATAGCGAGATTAAATTAGGTTAAAGTTAGGGAAGACAGTAACTACTGGAAATAACTGGGAAGTTTTAGAAAGCGGTGTTATATTTCACATGCGGTAAATATAAAATGACTTTAAATTTACAACCAAATCTAAGGGAACTTACTTTTCGTTCAAGATACCTTTTAGCGGAGATTTCGAGATAACAGAGTTCATCTGTATTTTCTTTTCTTTTAGAAAACAGTCCTAAGAAAATACGCGCGCTGATTGGTTAAAAATTGTGTTTCTATAACTCGATGGAAACACAGAACTAGCCCGAGTTGTTGACGTAATGATGGCGCGTGCAAAGAGAATTTACACTTTGACAATCAAAGTTAACAAGCTGTTTTCCTTTTTTTCGTCGCGGTGTTTTCTAAAAGAAATAGAAAACATGTTCTCCGTGTTTCTATCGAGTTATAGAAATACTCGTGAAAGTTTGGGAGAACTCGTAAAAGCTGTGGAAACACTCGCCTGCGGCTCGCGTTCCCACAGCATTTCTCGTTCTCCCAAACCTCCACTCGTATTTCTATAGCTCAATAGAAACACGGTACATGTTTTCTATTTCTTAACTAATTGATGTGCTTCATTATGCCGGGGAAGAAGCTAGCCTACAATGTCCTGCACATGTGTGCGCCAAAGCCCAACTAATCCTCAATTGTCTACTGTGGTAGTTAGTATATGTAATCGCATGGGCCCGAGGGCAGTTAAGGATTAATTTCACGCGTATTTTCAAAGTTTTCACAAAATTGCCCAAGTCGCCAAGCCACGATGGCAATTTGGAAAGCTTTGAAAATACAAGCTAATGAAATTAATCCTTAATTGCCTGAGGGCACTTGCAATTACTTGTTTATCACATAAGGGCAAAATTCTGTATAAAGGAAAACTTTCAAGGTCCTGCCGTCGCGTAAACAGGTTTGCCGGTTTTCATTAAAGAACAGGCTAGCAGCAGCACGGGGAAAAGCCTACTATAATAGTATGTAAAACACAGCAAGTTCAAGTCACTCAAAGCAATTTCTTTTCAAATAAAACTAGCCCGCGAGCAGGCTCACCTTTGCGTCACACGCGGGAGCGGCGAAGAGCAAAACGATCCAGCGGGAAAGAGTCTGGTGAAGAGACCCCAAGAAAGTACTTTCTCGTCTCGCGGCTTCGCCGCTCGATTTCGCGCACGCGGCTACGCCGCGCGCGCTTGTGCTCCAACGTGAGCCTGTCTAAAATAAAACTTGAAACAATCTAATTTTATTCACCTGNGCTCGATTTCGCGCACGCGGCTACGCCGCGCGCGCTTGTGCTCCAACGTGAGCCTGTCTAAAATAAAACTTGAAACAATCTAATTTTATTCACCTGCTTTGCGAAGCTTGCAACGGCGTGAAACTACTTCATCGATCAATGAAAGACATAATGCACCAGTCAAAGTAAATCCCCCCCAACCCGAGAAAGGGGGGTCATTAGCGGAACAAAAACCGATCGTTGACTCTCAAAACTGTCCTGGTACCTGGGGTCTTGGAAGAGAATTGCTTCTTCGTTATCCGAACTGGTGTCACAGTGATTTGGGTATCCGCAAGTTTTGGGTACCCCCTTACCCAAATCCCTAGTGTTTTGGGTACCCAAAACACTTAAAGTGTAAAACTGGGCAAGTGAAATCATTCTTCTGAAAACCGATTTATCTTCTTACGAAGCTTTGTCTCAATAAATTAAAGCGTTCTTTATCTTGATATAAACACAATACGTCTCTGAAAATAGTCGCAATTCATAATAGACTGTCTGATCCGAGTCCGCAGTTATAACGACATACAAAACCGGATTCACGCGCCAAAGTTCCTTGTATGAACATGCGCTTGGTGCCTACCCTTGAAATGCACGTTATTTTAAACGAGAAAGGCGCATTCTAAACCTCGGATAGTACTGCGATTGAATTTAATCAATATGCGAGGGAACACACTGAGATACGTCCGTCACGCAATATGCAGGTCCAGCAACCCATTACCCGGAGTCCTCCATTTCCTATACTAACCCTGTGAGTCAACCCTTTCCCGTATCTTTCTATTTTTAGATACAGCTCTTGTGGGAGTTTTTACACGACCCTTTTCAACACCCAATGATACCCCAGCTGAGACCATTCTTTGTAACAACAGAGACTGAGACCCCACTTTTGCCTTCTATTTTGCGTGTGTCTATCTGCAGAAACAAGATATTTCGTGTGAAACCAAGAGACCCTTGTGCTAATTACAGTTCTAAAAATAGAATGATTCGGGAAAGGGTTTACTCTACGTTATGGTACGCGTGAAGGCTCCGGGTGGTGGGCTCCTGGCAGGTCTCAAGCTGTTACTGACCTCTGTGTATGTCGCCTGTCTGAAATAAACTTTGTCTTAGACTTGTTTGTCGCTCTTTTCTTGACCATCATTATTTCAGACAGGCAACAAATACAGAGGTCAGTCACAGCTTGAGACCTGCATATTGCGTGACGGCCGTATCTCAGTGTGTTCGCTCTAATATTGATTTTATTCAGTGGCCAGCTTTCGAGGTTTAAAATGCGCCTTTCTCGTTTAAAATAACGTGCATTTCAAGGGTTATCGATAGGCATCAAGCGCATGTTCATACAAGGAACTTTGGCGCGTGAATCGGTTTTGTTTGTCGTTATAACTGCGGACTCGGATCAGACAGTCTGTTGTAAACTGCGACTATTTTCAGCAGCTTTATGTGTTTATATCAAAACTAAAAAAGTTGTAATTCATTGATACAGAGCTTCTTGAGAAGATGAATGGTTTTTCAGCAGAATTATGGATGATTTCACTTACCCCAGTTAGTGGTATTTAACTCTTTCAGTGTTTTGGGTACGGGGGTACCTAAAACACTGGAATACCCAAATCACTGTGCGGGGAATTTCTCTGCTGGAGGCTTGGAGTCTATAATTGTGTGTTGCAAAGAGACTGAGACCAGCCTAGAAGGCAACCAAAATGGTGGAGAGAAACGTGAGTAACTAACTTGTTGCTTTTTAATCTATTTTATCCTTAGTTTTTGCTTGCCATCCCTCTCCTAATTTCTATCAAAAAATTTTACTTGTGAAAGTGTAGTACATTTATATTGTTTTTGTGTACATCTTTCTATTTTGATTGCATACAGATGACCTGATTTTCTTCGCTTGGTTGACCATGCATTCACACCAAACTGATCATTCAAAATCTCTTGTTTCATTAAATACTTCAGGCCCTCGCTGAGTTCGGCGAAAGCCGTAAGGTCCTTCCCGTTCGTGGCATTCCTTAAATAAAAATTGGAACTTCAGCATATACTTTCAGTGGTTGGCGGGGACAAGCGAGGACATTGAATTGGAATGAAAATATTTCCCTGGGGGTGGGGACATTGGCTCATCTTTTCGAGTTCTTTTGTCCAAGTCCTCGCCTTTTCCCGTTTTTTCTTCTTTTTTTTTTCTTTTT